TGGCAGACATGTGATTACTTTGCCTTTTGATAGCTGATGTTTGAAATCGTCATTTCAATAATAATTACTATTCTTTGGAAATTTCATATTTTATTGAATACTTCATTTGGTCTCTATTTGTGCACGTTCAATTGATTGAGAGAAAAAAATGCAACATCATGATGCTGGAAAAATAATTTTGCTTGTTTATTTTTGTAACTACCGAATTGGTCCTAAAGATTTGACATTTAAAAGCGACGAGGACCGTGAGATAACGAAATTAAATTCCTAATTACGTAATGTATGGAAGTGAAAGAACTTACCACAGGTTGATAGTTTAAGGATATTTTCATCATTAAGCTACAGGTAGATCGTAGAGCTGATTACCAAGAGTCTGAAAAGACAGAAATGGTGTCTGATTTTTGGTTCGAGAAAATGATCACGTGATACAATTTTGTTATTGGTTTTCGTACATTTAATTGCTCCAGTGTTAAGCACGTTATATATTTGTGTTTATATGAAATTAAAAGCAAATCGACTGATTTAATTGTCTTCACCTTGGTTTCCTTTTTTCTTTTCTTTTTTTTATTGACACCACAAAACAAACATACCTGTATACATAAACACCCAACAGGTCCAGGCTCCCTGCTAGGTTTTAGACAGAGACAAATATTACATTTAATATATCAAAGTAACAAGTACAGAGTGGTATGCATGGTCTGCAAAAGATCTTAAGCTCAATTTCCCTTTTCTTAAGTGTAACAGCTAAACATACATAATTACATTACGTGTTGCTTGAAAAGAAGGGAGATACAACATTTGACCGAGCTCTAGCATTTGCTTGTACGACAGAAAATCTCTGGAGGTAACACAGAAAAGAGTAGACATAGATGTAAGAATATTTTTTTCTTTTTCATTTTACAATAAAAACTGCACCGAAGACGAGACGAATTCCCACAAACAAGGAATTCAGTGTTACCATTTGATAAAATATGGAAGTCGGTAGAGCAAAGATGTTATAAATCTCAATTTAGTAAGTGATCCAAAGTTTGACCCCATGGGTTTACTTTTGTTCGGTTTTATTTTTGTCAAAGTCCTACAAAACAGCTTTGGCTGATTAAGAATTGTCCCCCAATGTATGCAAAATGAGTGTGGTTGTGGGTGGCTGCAGTGTCATCGTGTAAGGCTTCTTGTGATAGAGCGGGCCGTGCATCAATTTCCAATTCTATAACGCTTAAGTATACCGCTAGCAGGACAATCAATCCGGTTCCATCATACGTACAATAGGAAAAGCAGTCATGACGCTTCCATATCGCTGAACGGTAAGCAAAGAATCAGAAGCTACATGAAGAAGCATGACAAAATTGAAGGTTTCATGTGCGACATCTTGTGGACAAGACAAAAATACTAGTTTGATCCCTTGATGTACATCAAAACAATCTCGAGGTCGCATAGCGGTATATTGTAATGGTTTTGAAGTAGGATGTCGCTCCTTTGTAATTTTCAGAAAGGGGCGTATCAGCCTATGATTGGTCAGTTTTTTTTCTGGGACCAATCAAATTACAGTCTAACCTGTATTAAACGGCCACTGTTGCGAAATTATGAAAGTGGCTTTTATAGAGAGGTGGCCTCTTAATTGAGGTTCCCTATTTTCGAACCCAAGTTGCGGCAATTTGCACATTGATATTTGAATACAGTTTAATAATAAGATATGCTTCGCGTTTGTGCCTTCAAATTTGCCATGACATGTTCCAGGGGTGCAGCGAGCGAAGTGATTGTAACCTCTGGAGCATCGAAGATATGCAAAAGGGGACATTAGGAAGATGTTTGAAAATATATAGACTTTAAGTTTCGTCGCCTCACAAGATCATGCTTTTTGGGAAGATGCAGGAGTTGAGTTTGAAATGTTAACAGTAGATGATGGTTGTGGGCAGGTGTATGGGTTTAATTGACAGTTCGACAGAAAGGTACAATAAACGTTAAAATTTACAGGATCAATGCTCCCAGAAGTCGAAAAAGGCAATCGTAAAGGACATGAAAGTTGAAGTATATCGAAAAAATATTGATGACCTCAATTTTTTTATTGGAGTTCGAGACGCAAACTCGCAAAACATTGATTGACGTGGTCTGTCATGACATTTGGATAATGTATTCAGGTGTTATTCACTTGTGTGTCTTTTGTATAATCTTCCGTAAGGTTTGGTCTGATTTAGTTTCCTACTTTTCAGCATACTTTTAACAGCTTTGGTAATTTAAGGGCGGTTTTCCATGTGTATGCGAGCTGAGCGTGTGTTTATGGGAAGTTGCTTGATGTTTGTGTAAGATTTCTTTTGATAGAGCGGAACCGAAACCGATTTCACAGTGCTTATACCCTGACGTGTACTGCCGAAGACCAGCCAACAGCAAATTCTCCCGGTTACAATATACCGATAGCATTTGACTCAGTCATTCCACGACCACAATGCTGAACAAAAATAAGTGAGTAGTAACTACACTTTTTATAAACTATTGTCTAGAACTAGGACCCCGATGCTGAAAATCACGGATGGCGCAGTGGTAACGCACTCGCCTTTCACCTGGCCGACCGGGGTTCGATTCCCGGAACGGACGTGAAAAGGTAAGGGGTCACCTGCCCGACCACGTGGGTTTTCCCCGGATACTCCGGTTTCCTCCCACAATAAGACCCCTCGCGCGCTTACATCCGGGCCAACAAAAGTGATTAGTATAAGTTGACATAACTTGTTTCGCAATTGTTGTAAAATAAATAAAGTTTATATTTTATTATTATAACAGTGATCTCAATTTTTACACGAGGTGATTTAGTAACCACAACTACAAAAGAGAAAATAAATATTACAGTTTTATTAGCTCAATGTTATCTACATAGAAAATAAGCAGAAAAAGAGATTACTTTTTTAAAATGACGTCACATCGAGGATGTCGCAATTAGATTCAAAGCAAGATCGACGCAAGCTTTTTACGCAGTGAAGCTCGAGGATGTTAATTGACAGTAAACACGAAATTACAGGATGTAGTGTATTTACGGTCATATTGTTTTATCTTCTCAACGACTCGATAAAAGCAATAAGTAAATCAAGAATAAATAGGAGAGTTCCTATCTTTGTGATCAACTTGCATACCATTAGCACGTAATATTATTCAGAACATAAATCCTATCTTTGGCGTTAATTGTTCGTTAACACTCATGACACCTGTCAACAATATTTTGTAAATTTTCTGTAGATTTTGAGATGATAATATACTAGCGGGAAAAAAGAAACGCAAGTTCAGTTTTGGTAATATAACTTTTTTATCCGTAGACCAAATGTTGTGAAATGTGACACATATATATCTCAGTGTACTGTCTAAGTAATCGTCGGTTTAAATTCGGTCAACCATGACCACGGGCGACGCTGAACGATTTGAACAGATTTTCCAACAAAGCGTGCGTCCGTAGCACTACCACGTGCTATCAACTTGAAAACCATACCAAATCCAAGTTTTGAACAGCACACATCCAGTGCACAACATTTCATTCCAAGGCGATTAAAAAGCAGCATGCCGCGAATGTCCGAAGTTGATAGGGGTATGGCTATTGCCCGAATTCTACAGGACCAATCGCAACGTCTCGTCGCCCAGCAATTTGGAGTCCATGAGTCAACGATAGCTCGATTCGTTGGGCGTCTCAGGGCCACGGGAAGATTAGCTGACCGTCCCAGGAGCGGATGTCCGCGCGTTACGACGCCACGTCAAGATCAGGGCATACGTCTGTCACACCTACGTAACCGATTTCAGACAGCGACGGAGACGGCAAGTCATATTGTAGGCACTCATGGTTGCCGTGTGTGTCCAAAAACAGTTAGGAATCGGTTGCGGGAGTTCAATTTAAGGCCACGACGTCCCTACATTGGTCCGCAACTTACAACCTGGCGACGTCAACGTCGAATGCAATGGCTGCGTGCACATGCACCAAATCGGTTTTGCTTGGCCCGCTTGAGACGTGTGTTATTCACGGACGAATCTCGGTTCACGTTGTATAGGTCAGATGGACGAAAACGTTGCTATCGACGTCGCGGTGAGCGATATTTTGACGCATGCGTTAAAGAAAACGACAGATTCGGGGGAGGGTCTGTTATGGTTTGGGCGGGGATTTCTCACGGCGTGAAAACACCTCTCGTGATTATCCAAGGCAATCTTACAGCCGTCCGATATTGGAATCGTTCCTCATTCCTCATGGCCTTCCATTAATCCAAGCGCGAAACCTTACGTTGCAGCAGGATATTGTGAGGCCGCACGTTGCTAGGGTGTGTCGTAACTTCCTCAACCAAAACAATGTCCCAGTACTCGACTGGTCACCCTACAGTCCAGATCTGTCCCCGATCGAGCATTTGTGGGACGAGCTGGACAGGAGGCTCTGGAAGCGCGTCCCAAACAATGTCGCTCAGCTCACGCAGGCCCTTCTTCAGGAGTGGAATAACATCCCACAAAGGACCATAAACAATTTGATGGGGTCAATGGTAAGGAGAGTTAGAGCAGCGACTGCAGCTCAACGCGGGCACACCTGCTATTGATTTTGATCAGGAAATGGCGTAGGGTATCTACGTTTAAACGATATCCATGCCAACGCCGTCTGTGTTAAGACAACAGAACTTATCAAATTTTAATCAGTAATGAGGAATTAATATAAACATCTTAACAATGATATGATCATCCATAAAACATATGAAATATTTACCACCGGACAAAAACTTGCGTTTCTTTTTTCCGTTAGTATAGAAGCCTTATTAAAAACTTACTATGACTTACAACACCTTTTACCAATCAGACACGGTCTTAATCAAATTAATAAAATACTAAAGGTAAACAGCTGACATACTATCTTTAGACATAAGACCGATATTATACAATCCTACAGCATATTTGTAGGAAGTTATTATTCCTTGATGTCAGTTCCAAGTACCATTTTCAATTATTCTAATGCAACTGTCTCCAACGAAAAAACTAGATAGAGACCGAACGAATCAAAAACCAAGTCCAAACCTAAGTAAACAATATGTTATTATAACCACTCCGAATATCATGTTGATGATGTTTAGTCTCAAAGCACACACTGAACTGGCTTTAGCATTTGTCATGTCTCCATTGGAAGCTGCTCGTCGTGACTGAAATGAAACAGAATCCATTTACTGAAACTGACAATACGCGTCTGAAAGCCTTATTTCTTAATTAGAAGCTGCATCTGAAGCTGAAGACATTTAAGACACATAGTTCATTTGTTATGATAATGCATTCAAGAGGTAACAAGACACTTTGTATTGGCAAATGAAAATAACTTATATATAATCACGACTTATTTTTTTGGTTTAGATATCTAGCATGTATGACGATTGTTCATGACGTCACTGACATAGACACATCATAAAGATGACGTCATAAACAATAGTATGATTTTCAATATCACTGCCCTCATGTCTGAAAACTCAGATTTGTGACATTATACACAAACTAGTACGAAATTTATAATCTTTCATTTTTTGCTTTCAATTTATATGAAAATGGATAACCCTATTTTGTTTTGAAATTCGTGGCGTTCTATCAATGTTACTGTAACAGCTACGCATCGCCAGCAAGCATACCTCTGAAAATCCCATAATAAAGTATAGTTTTCCCCTAAATACAATTAAATTTGTTGAATAAAACATACAATTTATTTGGTTGAATAACGCATACCTATTTGCAGAAAACATAAAATTGTTCAATAAATCATACTCTCAAAATCTTATTAAAGTGTAGCACCATGATATATGTTTCCAGGAAACTTACGTCGTAGGAAGAGATAATGGCACAAATTCCGATTGACCACACGCAACATAAACAACCACATATAGACCAGCCCAGATAGTCGTTAGGTGGCGAGATCTGCGAAATCAAAATTATGCATCAAAACCACACATTTACGTTATTTTTCCATATGTTTTCATTTGTAAATTTGTTGAAGTTTGTTTTCAAATGTCAAAAAGGTTGGATGATTTCAAAGCTACGAAACATTTGTCATTGTATGTTCATTGGTACATTTCATTCATATGTATATACATATTATGTCATTGACCCGTATCATACAAATATAATTACTACTGATGGCAGTTCAATGCTGCTGGGTTGTTGAATGACAACACTTGTGTCAGTGGCTGTATACGACGGTACAGATATGTTGTTATTAGGATGTCCGGACTCCGTGCCTGTCAAAAAATTGAAAAAAAATACACACATTTTAAAAATAAATTTACAAAAGTAATTACGTGACTTGCCGAGTTATTAGAAACTTGGGGGTTAAATCTATCATACAAATATGAAAATTAAATATTGCTGTTTGGACATTTTTCAACATAGTAGCATAGTAACACAATTCATATTTCTCACACCGGCTTTTTTTCCGGATAATGTCCGTATCTAAATTTAGATAGTGTCAAACTTCGATGTTTCGAAGTTCAATGGACTATCATTCGTGGTGAGTAAATATCGACGTATATCAAATGCTATTGTTTGCAGACAAATAGAGGAAACTCATAAACTCAAATATTAAAAAAAAGTCACCAAAGTTCAACAAAAAAATCATAATGATATATAAGGTACTGAAGCGTAAGTATTAGTTTAGTTCTTCAAGTTAATACAACTTTAATAGTAACTTTAAGACGTCATGTATCATATTCAAGACAATATTTTCATTTTATTGCGAAACATTTAAAGACAGTACAAATGACACACAAGTGAATAGTATTTTTCAATACAAATTTAGAGTGAGATACAGTAAAGTCAAACATCATACAGCTGTTTCGTTCCGGGACTCGTTAGTCTAAGGGCCTTATGTTTGACGCAGAGAAGGCGACTGAGGAACATGCTAAGTGAACGAAAGAGTATTCAAAATCTAAATGGGGATGTCCACGAGCCCCATAATTCAATAAATCTTATAATTTTCATAAACGAGATAATCTTAGAACAATGTTCAACACATGAGTATATTCTGACTTGTGTCACTATTCGAATGAATCAAAGTGTGACAAGCAGGTTACGGAAAAATGCAAATAACTATAAACTAGGACATGTATCATTATTGTATATAATTCTAAATTGTATTGAAATGCGATTTGGATTTGAGTGTCTTTTGTACAAACCATTACATTCTTTAAATAAATTCATAGATATATACAAAAGATCTCTAACATGTTATTTTAATAATACGACTTTTCATAAATATCTCTACCAACATCGACCTGGCAAGTTATATTTATACAGATTTAACTCTGTCGAAAGTGCGTACCCTGTAAATCAAAAGATGGAGCTACATCGTTGGCGACGTGACTGTATGGGGGAGGTTTAGGTCCATCATCTGTAGATAAAAGTTCATGTATTATTTATTTTCTCTGTGAAAATAGTTTTTATGAAATGTTTCATTTGCTACTTTTCTATAATGTAAAAGATAATGTAGTAATTACAAAGAAATGTAATTACATAGAAATGTAATTACCTACAAATGTTGTTAGATATTATAATGATTAATTTAATACCTTTTGGAAGTGATGACGCAACATTAGACCCAGATGACGTATTGTCTCCCCATGTATACAATGCATTGCCTTCGTCAGTGGGTGGGAAATATGGCGGAGGACAGTCACTGCTACAGACTAAAACAGTGTATAAATACAGAGAGACAAACGTGTTAGTTGTGAATTAATCACCTACATTGTTCATTAAAAATAAGGCTAACTGATATTAACAAGATATATTAGAGACGTAGGGATGTTCTTCGTTGATGTGTTGATACCAGACAATATCATTTGTGTATGGAAGAATAATGATATTTAAGTTTTGTTGAGTTCTGAACGTCTGCGTGGCAAACACTGTGAAAAAGTGGAGAAAAGAATGGAAAAGGTAACGATTTTACCGGTTTGTCGAATTTAAAATAACTTTACAAATAAATACGTAATGAGACAGTCTTTGTAGTTTCTGTTTTCAAAAGACACGCGCAGAAATGTTGTAAACGTACTTATTTTTGGTACAACCCAATTTTAGTGCAATATCAATTTATCATAATAACGGATTTGTGTAGTCGCAATAGTTGTTATATTCATGACACGCAAAAACTAATTATAGTTATCATGATGCTAATGGAATAAATTCAGGGCGAATGTTGAATATGATTACAACTAACATAGATAGATTATTTAGATTATCATATCAGTAGAATTTCACTGTCTGTCTGTCTGTCTGTATGTCTGTCTGTCTCTTTTCTCTCTCTCCCTCCCCCTCCCCCCCCCCCCCTCTCTCTCTCTCTCTCTCTCTCTCTCTCTCTCTCTCTCACACACACACACACGCAAATCAATCTCCTCGAGGATTTATGAATAACTAATGAATATACCCGCTTGCTGTCGAAGAGACGATGGAGAACCCGGACAGGAATCCTCATCTGTAAATTGCTCGTACTCAGACATAACTGAAATGAACAAATCAATCACAATCTTACATAGGCCAGGTTCAAAATTTTAAAGTCGTAACGCTAGAACGGACTGTACGTCCGGCGTGTTCCCACACTTCACTACCGCATAAAATATAGTTGGATTCCAGCAGCTACTTATCTAACAGTTAAAACACTTTTGCAACATGTTAAGGGTTTGAACGACCACCTATCGATCTGTATACACAAGTAGAAAAGCTAACTCACTGTTTTTGAAACACTATTGGCCTGGATGGAAAGAATGTATTTAAATCTCGAAGATTATACTTTAATAAGAAAGTAAATTTTAAAGGAATAATCGGAATGCAAGTGCTAGCTACTGTTCCCTGTAAATTGATAGTGAAACGATTGGTTCGATCATTATCAGTATAATATAACCGAATTGGAGCCTTTGAGCCTTCGGCAGTATATGGGCACTACTATAAGGAGGCTTATAAATCACAGCCTCAACATACGCTCTTACTTCTTACATACAGAGGCCGTCCTTAGACGACCAATGCTGTTGATGTGACGTTAAATAGAATAAAACCAAAGACACAGAAAACAAATTATATTTTCGTTGACAAAATAAGGGATGAAAATCTTCTCAAACACAGAGGACAAGAAGACACACGTTTATTGGCAATTTAAGATTAAAAAAAACGAAAAGACAAACGGTATAACACATGACAAGTTGGTACACACAAACACGCATGGAAAAGGCGAATGTTGATATGCATGACTTGGGTACATATTTTGATCGAAGTGTGACAGTTGTCTATAGACAAGACTTAGAGGAACGCATATGACAGACAAAGCGACACATGTTTATATGAAATACCAAATTCAGTATAACTAGAGCAAAATATGAACAAAAGAAAGATCGACTCTTGAAAAAGTCCAAGAATAAGATCAGGTGTTCCGCAAGAGTAAACGTCTTCTGATTCATCGCGACACCCGCCGTGCAATTTTTGGTCAATCCGGGAAAGTGACGTCACTTTCCCAAATGAGAGCACGGTAAACAACAACAGAACCAACAGCTTTATCTACTGACACCAAACATATCCAACTCAATTTTATAATGAAATGGAATATTTTCCCAATTAAATCGTTATGATGATAAACTTTCCATCGGTCATTAACCTGCATCCATCGAAACCCTGTGTTGAAAGAGATTCATTTTAGACATTATGAGACAAAAAATATTATACTGAAGTCTATGGTGGCTGGTATGTGCCATTTTGTTATTTCGTTTTTTCGCCGCGAAATAACGACAAACGGCGGGGCAAAGTATTTCGGGTCGCCAAACAGCGACTTTACATTTTCGTTATTTCGCCTTACATTATTTCGTTATTTCGTTCTGTTGCTGCGAAAAGACGATGTTTAGCGCGGCGAACAAACGACATTTGTCGTTCTTTCGCGGCGAAAAAACGAAATAACGAAATGGCACATATCAGCCACCATAGAAGTCAACTCCTTGAGTATCGAATCATTTGCGACTTTGGGTCATCAACTTGCATCCCTCGAAATCCTGTGTTCTGAGAGTTTATGAGTTACCGAATTTTTCACAAAAATCATAATACTGAAATCCACCACATGAATATCGAATCAGCTGCGATTTTAAGGTCATCAACTTGCATCCCTCGAAATCCTGTGTTCGGAGAGTTTGTAAGTTACCGACATTTTACACAGAAATTATGATACAGTAATCAACCCCTTGAATATCGAATCAGCTGCTACTTAAGTCATGCACATTTAATATACATGACAGTATGATTATAATATGGCCAGCAGATACATTATACATAAATAACAATGGGCGACAAACTTACACACTAATATTGATATATAACAATACACGATGAGTTGGCACATATTTATGAGCATGATTCTATGCAACATTATCATATGCATGCCGAGTTTTTACTGATTTTTTTCATTGTCTTCAACCTTTTCATATACATTACGATGAAAACAAATCAGCCCACGTGATAAAGGAAAATCCCGAATACAAATTTCTTATTTCGAAATTAATCAAAATATATAAATACGGTGTAGAAAAGGGGTACCGTCAGTTCAAATATTTAAGTGAATATGCAAAACAAATTTAAATGTATTTATACATACCTGATTTCAGATTCTCCAGACAAATTAAACAATTTTTTTCTTGTTTAGAATAATAATCATCGGAGTATAACGTTTGTCTTGTAGCATATTCAATTCCGTTATGTACAATGTGGTGTTGTAACGAATGCGTGTCATATCGGATAAGTGTGATATAGTGCTGATGGTGTTATATATAATAGGATCAGGTTAACGATGAGGAGATGTCGATAGTAAGTTACATCCTTTTCATTTGTTTCATAATTTTGTGTGAAGTAAATATTTTTCATTTAACAATATTTTTGCAATATTCAGAAGACCAGAAAAATCGCTGACGTTAAATATCTGTTGAGTATATTGAAAATATCGATATCAATGTGTAGACAGTATTACGTTTCTCTAGATCTGAAACTGACCCAACCCAACACAAATAGCATTACGAATATAATTGACATGCTTACACATATAATTTGTTGAGACTAAGCTTCATGATAAACACGCCGATTCGATATTCTAAAGCTTTCTGTATATGTTGTTCTATATATATGATAGATGTACACCGCCGAAGGAAAGCTTACGTAACAAGTTAATTAAAGATTTAGGTTAATACAGGTCAGAAAAAATTCCATGATCTCGCTGGAATTAGCTTTTCAGAAATCCCCGCTGATAAGCGTATGTTGTGATTTTGTTGTCACATCCATATCTAGTTTGAAAGAGTTTGATTTCTTTCGTTTGACCCAGATTGACCTGGCGAGTGTCGATGATAAAGTGTCTTTCGGAGCCCTATTTTATTGGTTCTAGTGGTACTAATGACTTTATACATGTGTTTTCACGTGATAAATAGGTGTGTTATCTGTAGTCGTGTGATGTGAGAAACATTGTTGTCGATAGTCACCTTACTGCTTAATAGAATTCAAACATTTTCTGCTTCTGTTACATAATAGCAAGCCTTTACCACATTAATCACACTGTGTCACACCCAAGATTTTTTTAAAAGAAACAAATGTCACCTATTCACTGTATAAAATTTTAAAATTTAGCCGTGTGAATTAGATATGTGTCTGTTGTAGTATGTATTAATTCAATATAATATAATGTAACGAGATTAAAACCTAGAACACAAGGATAAATTACTCGAAGAAAGGTATTTTGCATAAAGAATTGTACCTCAAGGTATAAACTAATATTAGAAAAGTTATATGGTACGGTATCGTGATTTACAGAAGGTCAAATTTTGTTCATTTTTTGTTTGTTTGTTTTTCTTTTAAAGTTTAGTCTTAGCATTAGAACATACTTAATAGCAAACTTACTTTATCGCGAATTATTATTATTATTCCTAAGTAATAGTTTTTGTAATTCTCTTCATATTCCTTCGTCCATTTAAATATGATAAAATGACACTGGGATCATGCGAATTGTAAAAAAAAAACCCTGTATACTTACTTATGGTGTAAACACTTCCCAGTTGACACGTGACAGATGACAACGAATGGATTTCGAGGAATGCAGGTTTTTGCCCTCGTTTTTTCGAAATCATTTTAAGATTGTGTTTACTTCTGTAATGTGACGCATATACAGTGTCTTATGACTTGAGATTGGACAGAAAATACTTCGAATAGCTGTTAATGCAACTGATTTTCAAATTTGATAATTATTAGCAATTTGTTTTTGTTTGTTTTTTTATTTGTTAATCATTTATTTATTTTTGTTTGTTTTTCTTCCTCTGAAGACGATGTCCACGGCTAATAGGGCTACTGACGGGTGATTCTATTAAATACCACAACATTTAAATGCCATAACCAGGACATAATATCACGACGCCAAACCTGGTCAGATTATACTTCCAACAGACATACCAGTCACAGTGCATTCTACTCAATCTTGACTGACAAGTGACGATCATCAAGTACTTCAATAACACCAACGGATTGAAAGTTAAGAAATGTCGGACTTTTACGATGTTCTTAGAGGAAATATGTTTTTATGGTAGACTTACGCGAGGACACATTTGACGATGTCCTGGTATCTGACAGTTGTACTTCTACTGTGAAAGGAGAGAAACAGACGATCTATTAAGAAAATCAAAATCTATAAAAGGATGGTGGATGATTCTCAAAATATAGAATGGTTTATAAACCACGTGGAAACTTTTACGGATGAATTCATCACCCTGAGGGAACATCTATTCTTTGAAAGTAGATATGATTTTTCTAGAACAAATTTACGTGGAGTATATCCAGGTGTCCGGTGTCTAACGGACGTATTTCATTTTGGTTTTGAGACTCAAAAAGTATCACAATTTACTATGGTATTTATAATTTTGAAATAAGATAGACACGGAATTATCACAATCAAGGACAATCAACTCCCTTCAAGGGACAAGTTTGATCCCGTGATCACGTGATCGTTATGATGTAAGTTAATTGATATTTCCGTTCTCTTCTGTCTTAATCTCCTAGTTAGTTAGTTGTTTGTTTACAGATGAATACAGAACATGGTTACATCGATCCGCCATGGAAATCTTTTGTAACTGAGGTAAAAAAATGAAAACGGAAAACAAATTTTCTGACAACTTTTAAAAAGATAAGAAATGAAACAACAATTCATTAAATTTCTGCGAAAATCAATAAAAAAAACTACTTTAATTTTGGAAAAACAGACGGAGGGATCACAAACTACGGACAATAGACAATTTTTGATGTCATATGATGAAGATGATGAAAGACCAAAACTGCAGAATTTAATTATCAAGAAAATAGTTCATAGAACCTAATACTGAAATATGACGAGACAATTCACTGGGATTAATTCGTTAATCAAGAAATGATGGAGTTGTTTCCCTTTGATTACATCTTCTTTATTCACCGTTCTTTATTTATCTTTATTTAAGTTTGT